TCCCCTCATTCTCACACACCCCGCCCCAGGAGCCCACCGCAGCGCAAACCCTGCTCGCAGCCAACAAAACCCTCTCTCCCGGCCTACTGCGCCGGAAATCCAAAGAAACGCTCCTCCCCGAGCCCGCGCGCTTCGACAAATTCGGCCGCAGGATCTTGCGCGCGCCCGCGCCTCTGTACCGTGCGAATTCGAGTTTTTCATCCACTTCTGTGCCGGGTAGTGCTGCTGGTAGTGGTTCTGTTACGCCGGTTGGCGGTGAGGAGGTTGGTTTGCCCTCCTTGACAAGTTACATTGCAACAAAAGAAGTTTTTCTTGTTGGATCTGTTCGAGAAGAAGGATGATGAAAGAGAGAGGGATAAAGGCTAATGTATACTGGGATTACAGCAAGACATCGACCTCACGCGCGCCAAGAAACTGCTCGAGCTATACGAGATGCGGAGCAAGCTGCTGGAAATGGGCGACACGGGATTAGCTCGTTCGAAGGAGAGGGTTGATAGGGTTGTTGACCAGTATGCCAAGAAGGATTTGGCGGAGCGGGAGAAAGTTGCTAGGGCTAGGCATTTGGGTGTTTGAGAGGATCCGGATCAAGATCAAGGCTTCGAGGTAAGGATGTGCTGGGATAGGTTGGGAATGGCAGTGCTGACCAGGTGCGAGTAGAGAAACTATTGTCTGAAGCGACGGGAGAGAAGAGGTGCAAGGGCGTAACTGTGATTCAGGAAGGTTGTATAACTATAATGCTTGCGATGGGTTGGGATGGAATGGGCGCATAAAATGGGATACTGGACGTGTATTGGGACGTGGTGGCATTTCTAAGGCGCAAAAAATGGCTATACTTAAAGGGTGGGTGGAAGGCTTGTTCTTCTAGCAGCGATATTTGAGAGCATTAATCAACATGGATTGCGAGGCCAGGAAATTTGTGGCTGGGTGTGTGATAATGGTATTAGTTCTAGGGTAACAACATCTTGTCTACTCGACTCAGGAATTCTTGAATCCTCTCCACCATTGTTAACATTGATACCAGAAGAAATCTTAAACACGCTCTGCAGAGAATGTTCAATCTGCTGCTATCAAAACTTCAACCAGGTCCCTCTCCGTCATGATCATCTACTCCGCTTGTCCAGCCGCAGTGAAAAACGCCAGCCAGTCTTTATTGTAACATTGCTATAGGGGCATAGGCACTGGCAATGGAACGGGCACAGCTCCCTGGACATCTGTAACATTAATTTCAATGCCTTTCGATATGTGCTTCAGTGCCGCGGCAGTTGGCTTAGCAAGCTGCCTGCCTATGGCTATTTTAAGCACTCTTTCTCTCAATACCGCACGACGACCCATTCGAATTGACCTTTGGACCCCCCTTTTAGCCACCTTGCTCATTCGAAAGGGCTTTGATGGTGTACCTGGAGCAGGTAGTGCTCCAGTCAAATCTGCTGGGACTGCTAGTGAAGGAAGTTTAGCCGAGGATATTGGAACTTCTGGCAGACCAGAGACATCCGGGAGATATAGCACATCCGGGAGATTAGGGACATCCGGGGTACGTAGCACATCAGGGAGAACAGGGCCACCCGGAAGATAGAGCCCATCAGAGAGATTTGGTACGTCAGGGAGGCCTGGTATATCTGGGCGATTCGAAGCACCTGGGAACTTAGGTGCGGAAGGGCCCCCTGCTGCTCTATGAGTGCTGGAGGTTTCCGGTACATTTTGGAAATCAGGAGCGCCTGAGACTTTAGGTGCATTAAAGCCCCTACCGGCTTCAAAGGTGATAGAAAGTTCCGGTACATCACTCGTTGGAGTGACCAGTACGGGTACCGGCAAGCCATAAATATTCGTCATTGTCACCTTCCCAGTCAACGGAGCAAGTTGGGGGGATGTTCCTTCGGGTGTGAGACCGCACTCGGTATCTGGGCGAGTATCAGACGCCGAAGACCTGGATCGCCTTAGACCGTGTTCAGCGTCTGGACAAGCATTCGGATCTGGATCTGTGACAAAATCTCGGACTGCTGTATCAACAACTCCAACTCCGTCGTAGGACATATCGTTCAAATTATGTCGATCGGCTGGGACCAGTGGGCTCGCAGGAGCTGTCACCATCTGAGGAGTTTTGTCGCCTATAGGAGACTGAGGGCGAGACAAGAGTTTAGAGCTTGTGGTCTCCCAGAAAGGATCCGAGAAGTTTGATTGAGTCCTTAGAGCTTTATCTCTTCCATCGTTGGAACTTCCAGTTGGAGAGGTGATCTCAATATAAGGTCCGAAATAGTCGTTCGCACCGAGATAGGCCATGTTCTTCATGGGAGGTGCTTCTTTCCCACCGATTGGAGAGTCGGGTCTTGATTGGATCAGGGCTTGCATACTTGTATCAAAGGACTCTTTCCTGTCAGAACCATATCGAAATTGCGCGAAAGACCAACGGCTCTTGGGATAGCTCTCTGTTTCGTCTGCTGCTGAGCCTGCTGGTCCTACATTCGCCATGACCATTGGAGTGGCCACGCGCCGATGAGACAAACTTGAATTTTTGACAGTCTGAAATGGAGTTACAGGACTGGGCGGTAGAGCATATGGCCCTAGAACAGATGTGTCTTGGGTGTCGATGCCTGGGTTGGCTGGAGTATTATCGGAAGGACCCTCCATAGGTGCTATAGCCGTCGGAGGTATCTGATGCGAACTAAACTCTGCTATCTGGAGGGTAGGTGTTGATGAGCGACTTCCTTCTAAAGATTCTTGGCGAGAGATTTCTTCATTTGCCTCGATTCGAGCACCAAGAGTCTTTACAAGATTCGATTGCGATGATGGAAAAGAAGCAGGTATTGATTCAGAAGTTGGCGTTTTATTAATAGGTACAAGACGAGGCCAGATAATGTCTTGCAACACAACCATTCTTACATCGCCTGAAGAAGGTTGCGTTGGGAGCGAGAATTAACAGATGTGAGGATGAATGCTGAAGAAACACAGAGAGAAATCATGATGCCAAATAGTATACCCAGAGGTGCAGTTGCCTTTGTATGTGTATCTTCTATCGTTCCTGCCTTGAGTAGTCAAGTACTTAGAGCAGCATACCAGTATTGCTTCGCAGGGAGGGTTTCAAAACCGAGCAGCACAATAATAAGGAGACTCATGTACATATCCTTAATTCCAGAATTGTCTCAAACAACATTAGCAAAGGGTTAACAGTTCGGTTGAACTGAAAGAGCTCCCTTCATTGGCCTGGCATGAGAACTTCCCGCAACTTGTGTTTTCTACATAAACCACAGTTCGCTCGGGAATTCCTCCTAAGGATGATTCATTCTCAGATCTTTGAGGCCATGGTCGTAGATATTTGTGTAGAATGGATCCGGCTGGTGGGATGAGTGCCCGTTGGTTTACAGGGAGAAATACAGGGGAGGCACTGCTTTAAGCCAGCTGTACTGCAGCGGAGCGGAGCGGGCACGTTCTCGCAGACTTGGCGTGCCAAGCTGCCAGCCCAGCCAGTGACGAATTTTGGAATTTGAACCCCATCGCGACAACACCACCAGGTACATTCTACCCGAACGCGCAACAACAGAAATCATGGCCAGCTCAGTCGATGCAAAGCTGTTGAAATCAACCAAATTTCCTCCTGAGTTCAGCCAGAAGGTTGACATGCAGAAGGTGAACGTTGAGGTAATGAAAAAGTAAGCTATAACATTGTCCTGGACCGGAAAGATGAAGCTGACAGCGGCTGTTCGCAGATGGATCGCTGGCAAGATCGCGGAGATCCTCAACAATGATGATGATGTGGTTATTGAACTCTGCTATAATCTTATGGAGGGAGCGCGATTTGTACGTTGTCGATCCCTACTTGATACCAACTTATAGCTAACGGTCTGCAGCCCGACATCAAGAAGATGCAGATTCAATTGACAGGCTTCCTCGACAAAGACACAGCTCCGTTCTGTAAAGAATTATGGAAGCTTTGCTTGAGCGCGCAAACCAACCCCCAGGGTGTTCCAAAGGAGTTGCTCGAGGCCAAAAAGCTCGAGCTCATTCAAGAAAAGGTGACTCATACTCCCTATGCAAGCAGTTAGATTGCTAACCTTCATATAGATCCAAGCCGAGAAAGATGCAGAGGTGGCTCGTCAACGACGCGAAGAAGATCAACTAAGAGAGCGCGAAACGAACAATGTCAGGAATCGCGAGCGAGCCGAACGTGGAGATCGTGGTCGTGGTGGGTTTGGAAGGGGAGGGGGAGACAACTGGAGAGGTGGGCGTGGAGGACGAGGCGATGATAGAAACAGAGATTTTGGCCGAGGAAATGACCGGGATTTTGGGAGAGGCAATGGACGGAACTACGATAGACGCGGCCCAAGACATTCCAGATCTCCCCCGCGGCGTCGACCCGATTCCAGAGAGCGAGGGTCGTTTCGAAGAGATACTGACACCTACGTGCCCCCTGGACGAGGTGGACCGAGACGTGATGAAAGAAGAAGGTTGCCCACATCTGAATCCCCCAGTCCGTTGGCAGACTCGCGTTCCACCTCGCGCTCTCCTACTCGTTCGCCCGCGCGAAACCGCCGTCGCTCATTATCAAGGTCCAGGTCTCCTGCTCCGCGCAGGCGCCGGTCCATCTCCAGGTCACCAGACAGGCGCAGCTATAGGGGTAGGGGAGGTAGAGACAGAGGAAGAAGCCCTGATCGTGGAGCTCGTCGCAGATCACCAACTCCTTCCAATTCCTCTCGCACGCCACCACCCAAGCGCCGACGAGCAACGTCTGATTCTATTAGCCCATCTCCGCCCCCAAGAAGATCTCGTAACCGCTCCGAGTCTATTAGTAAATCTCCGCCAAGAAGATCCAGGCGTTACTCTACCTCCAGATCGAGATCGCCTTCAACTTCCCGATCACGGTCTGCCAGCCGTACTCCCATTCGCAAAGTTTCTCGCAGTGAAGATAGAATGGAGATATCGCATACTCCAGTCGATGAGATTGAGACTCGCACTACCACTCGTAAAGACCGACGGCTGACTCGCAGCAGAAGTAGAAATGTGACCCCGCCACGTCGCCGTCGTCGTAGTCCATCAAGAAGCAGAAGTCGTGGTGGAAGGGATCGAAAACGCCGGCGATCATTAGAGCGATATGAGCCGTCCAAGAGAAGACGTAGTTCCTCCTCAGTCTCTTCACCTGTTGATACAAAGAATAGGTCAGCTGATTCAGATAACCCGTACGACAAAGGGTCCCCGCCTAGAGAGAAGGAGATTGGGGGTGCTGGACCTGCGGTAACTACCGAGGTTGGTAACGCTTCGTAATACTACAAACGTATTTTCTTCCCAAGTTGTGGGCTGTTTGGTGTGCTTTCAACGAGGCTGACATATCTGATGGCATCCAGATGAAGATGAAAGATCCGCGGAGGCAAGCAAGTGTATTGAAGGAGAGACTATTAAAGGACAAGATCAAGAAGATGAGGAAATCGAGTATTGACTCTATGAAAGCTCAAGCTAACACTCATTGAGGTCTCATCCATTCTTCGTTTACCACTTCCCTTGGAATATCAGGGAAAGTCAAAACCATAGCTATAGTTCAAAAAGACCTTTTCCATTCTTTGGAAACATTACTTCTAAAGAGTATTTATCAATTGTAAATTTATTATCAAAAGGTAAAGTTCGTGTGACATGAACTTATTTGATTTGGGTTGATGAATGCTCGTTCCAAGGTGCACACTATACCACGGGCTACGAGTATCGTGGTTAGTAGAACCCTATAGAGGAGACTTTTAGTCTCATTATTACAGTTGAATTTCATGATACATAAACAAAACCCCGTCTTGAACCAGTCAACTTCACAATATCCTCGATAAGACCGCCTTATCGCGTCAGACCTGGCCCAAGCGTCATATTTCCTCGGCGCAGGCGCGTCTCCCAACTCTGCTTCGAATAACCTCAAACCTCCGTGCATTCCTCCCATCACCCCAACTTCTCTCCCCTCTACGACAGCCATGGTCGAAAACTCCACCTCTGCCTCCGCCGCTTCCAACGCCCTTGCTGTGTCTAGCAACGAAGCGCCTGGCCAACCATACTACGAGCGCGAGCGCCAACGCCTCAAAGCGCTGCTGGCCAAGCGCCAAACCCTCGAGCGCAACCTGCAGGCAACCGAAGACGCGATCTACAAGAAGGAGACGGAGTATTTGGAAGATACGCCGCAGGGGAATATCATCACGGGCTTCGATGCGTATACGAAGGGCTCGAGCGTTGCGCCGGGCGGGGGGAGGAGGAGGGGGCAGGCGCAGGATATGAATCGGGTGTTTACGAGGAGTAGTATTAGTTTTAGGACGGATTTGGTATGTTACGTCCCCTGCCCTTTCATATGCCATGTCGCCCTCTTATTATCTCTTGTTATATGGCTGGATGATCCGTGGAGACGGACCATGGAATGTGCTAGCAGAGAAATAAACTGACGCGGAACAGGACTCACCGGCCCCGACAGCTCAGTCGACGCCCGTTGCGACGGCACCCACGCCGGTGTCTACGGGCTTTGTGAAGGGCGATAGTGCTTCGAATCATGCGACGCCTACGAGTGCCACTTCTGGCAGTCGGACGGGGGCGGGTGGAGGGGGAAATAGCAAGAAACATAAGAAGGGTGGAGAGGATAGTGAGGGAGAGAGGGATATCAAGAAGGTTCGGACGAATTTTGGCGCCCAGAAGAAGTGAGGGGATGGGAAGGTGTGGAACTTGGCGTTTTAGCATATTGCATGGGCAGGGGGACCTTAGGGGAGTTCACGGGGTGTATATCATCACTGGAGTTATTTTGGGTTGAGACCTTCAATCTCTGGTGTTCACATACATAGACTTAGATGTTTATGGGCTTTGATATGCGGAGCTTGGAGATGAGACTTGATACTAAATCGAAATGTGTGCGTACAGAATATGTCCTATTATATCTTGTATCTGATCAAGGTATCTCTTCATCGCTGTCATCTCCAAAGCCGAAGCTAAATCCACCACCATTGTTCTCGCCATTCTCTTTACCAACCGCCTCATCCCACTTCCGCTTCTTACCCTCCGATTTCCTCTTCAGCTCTTCAAAAGCTTGCTCCAGCAGCTCAGGGTGCTGACTTTGCATGCCTTGGACAAAAGTGCCGTAAGGATCAGTAACACTTTTTTTGAATCCCGAAACCTGATCAGGCTTGTCCCTTAAGAACGAAAGAACACCCGCCAAATGGCTCCTCGGCACAAAGTTTTGAGTGATGGCAATACCAGCATCCAGATTGACGACCAAATGCCACCATCCGCTCGGCACGTGCAAGACCTCTCCTTCCTTACAAACGCCTTCTACACATCCTGGAGTCTTCCGAGCCTCTGCATGGAATCCTAGCAACCATTCCGCGATGCTCAGCGGACTCGTAACTTCGCTCTGATCCTGCGACACATACACACCCGGTGGCGGCGAAGCCGAAGCATTCGACGGGAACATAATCCAATATTTGGAACCTTTTAGGACAGCATTCCACGCACTGGTAGCATTCGGATCCTTGTGATATGTCGAGCCACTCCGTGCTGGACCCATGATGAGCCATTTGTCATCGGGTCGCTGATCTCCTAGAACAGAAAAGAGATCATGACCGAAGCATTCTGGGATCCAGTATGACGGTGAAGGCTGCGTTTTGCTGATCTGGAGATTCATTTTCTGGACAAAGCTTCGATCGAACAGGTAAAGCGGGCTCTCATCGCTACTGTCCGACATATAGTTCAAATAAGTGTTGAGCGTCCAATCTACAGCTTCAGCTCGGAACTTGACACCTCCATACTGGTCCGAAAGACTGCTTGCATGCCACGACTTGTAGACAGGCCATTCTCGAATTGGTTTGGTGAGGATGAAAGGCTTGTTACTCCAGCTCTCTGAGAACTCTGTTGGTGAGAGGTTCTCGAGGCGTGTGATGGCATTTGCGAGAGGGATGTTGGAGGCGAATCGTGCTAAAGATGTGTGTGTGCATAGAAAAGGTCGGTAGAGCACATCTGAGAATACGGTGTTGCATTGTATTTGGGAGACTTGGTCATGGTTTAGGCCGAGAAGCGTGGAGCGCCAGGTGCCGCGCCATGCGAAGGAGCCGGCTTTGGATTGTGGTGATCTGGGCGATTCATTAGCAAGGTTATTTAATTTTGAAAACAAGTACAGCGACTCCGGAGTAGCAGAGAAAACATAAATTCAACAAGCTGTCATCACTTGACTTCCAATTATGTGTGAAATATAAGTTTATGCTTCAAATGACACCGCTGTTACTACAAAGTCTCGATGCTCGCGGACGATTTTGCTAGATCTGCTAAGACTCACATTATGACATAATCGAGCCAACCTTTGAAATGAAATAAAAGATATGTCATTGGGCCTCTCGCTCAAGGTGGGAGCTTTGCATGATCATCGAGGGCACCCTGACCCTGGGTCAGGTCCGCTCGGGCTTTAATCGTGCTCCTAGGTAGCAATACAGCTTCTACGTAGGCAATCTGAAATAGGAAAAAGAACCTACTCGATAAACAAAGACTTCCAGATATCATCTGACCTGCAAAAGGCATATAGAAACTTGCAAGTCGCACCAAGTACAAGTAATTGGGGGACTTCAAGATACTCCAGAAGGATGGCCAAAACCTCGTCGGGGAATATTTGAAAATAGCCAATGGAATCTTTGGCATCGCTTGTTGCAGTATATTTGTTTCCCAGGGGTTTAATGCCCAACGAATGGGGAGGGATTGAAAGAGATGACTCCTCTCGAGGCATATGTAGTGAGTCAATCCTAATGAGGCCACTAGGCTGAATGTCCAGAGTGTTAGATGAACCAGAGTCACCTGGAAGCTTTGCCGCCTTCATACCTGACTCTGCGTCAGTTCTGGTCACGAAGGCCGCGTAGTTGAGGCTGAGAGGCAAAATATTGCCGCCGAAAGTGCGCTGCTGGAAGGCTCCAAGAAAAATGGTTTTCGTGGCAATGGCAAGTGGCGCTACTATAGAAAGCCGAACGAGCAATGGAAACACCAATGAGGGAGGCGGAAATCGGTTTGCCACGGATCCAATGAGTAATTGCACAAGCAGGTGGTTGACCGTGTATGTCAAAGTGAACCGAACAACCCAAGGAAAGAGAATGAATGTAGCATAGGTATAGTTTAGTAGCAGGCAGAGGAGATGAGAGGCAACAGGAGGTCTCTCGCTTACATAAGACAAGTTTGTGTTAGCGTCGATCAAAAATAATTTTCCATGATATTAAATGTCGACCTCCCCAACCAAATCCCTTCCCTCCATCAAACCACTTCAAAAACACAAACAACCATACACACCAATTCCACTAGATCCCTTTCAGCTCTCGTTCTCGGGAGTTTTGGCATTTAGTTTCTACACCACATCTAGCACTCGCATCGTCGCAGTCTCTCCAAGAGGACCTGCGCACTTTTCCCACCCCACCACCCTCAATCAATCGCATTTCTAGATCCCAGGCTCAGCTCTGCGATCTAGATTTTCATATCAAAACCCGCAATCATGGCTTCCGCTGATAAGGGTCTCGAGGAGATCCCAGAAGGTGAGCATTTGACAACCTCATTGAAAACCACACCGCTCCCCATTTGTGGAGGCGGCAAAGGTTTCAAGAATGAATGCTGATGAAACCTTTCGCGCAGGTCAAATTGAGTCCAACTATGACGAGACAGTTGATTCTTTCGATACCATGAACCTCAAGGCTGAGCTTCTCCGAGGTATGATATAATATGCAAGTTTTGCGCAGAGACAGTATTAACACAGCATGCAGGTGTCTATGCCTACGGTTTCGAGCGTCCATCCGCTATTCAGGCTCGCGCTATCATGCCAGTCATCAAGGGTAGGTTTTGAAAATTCCCAATTCACACACTCATTTCTGATATCATCAAAGGCCACGATGTCATCGCTCAAGCCCAGTCCGGAACCGGAAAAACCGCTACTTTCTCCATCTCCGTTCTCCAAAAGCTTGACCCCAACATCAAGCAATGCCAGGCTCTGATTCTCGCCCCCACCCGTGAATTGGCCCAGCAAATCCAGAAGGTCGTTATCGCCATCGGTGATTTCATGAACATTGAGTGCCACGCATGTATCGGTGGTACCAGCGTTCGTGATGACATGAAGGCTCTTCAGGAAGGTCCCCAAATCGTTGTCGGTACCCCAGGTCGTGTCCAGGACATGATTCAACGACGATTCTTGAAGACCGACTCGATGAAGATGTTCGTTCTTGACGAGGCCGATGAGATGCTTTCCGTAAGTTTTCACGATGCTATGCTTGTGCCTTTACTAACAATCTCAAAAGCGCGGTTTCACCGAGCAAATCTACGACATCTTCCAGCTCCTCCCTCAATCCACCCAGGTCGTCCTTCTTTCCGCTACCATGCCACAAGACGTCCTTGAGGTCACCACCAAGTTCATGCGCGACCCCGTCCGTATCTTGGTCAAGAAGGCCGAACTGACCCTCGAAGGTATCAAGCAATTTTACATTGCCGTCGAGAAGGAGGATTGGAAATTGGACACCCTCTCCGATTTGTATGAGACCGTCACCATCACCCAAGCCGTTATCTTCTGCAACACCCGTAGGAAGGTCGACTGGCTCACGGACAAACTCACTGCCCGTGACTTCACTGTCTCCGCCATGCACGGTGACATGGACCAGGGTCAGCGTGACCTGATTATGAAGGAGTTCCGATCCGGTTCATCTCGTGTCTTGATCGCCACCGATCTTTTGGCCCGTGGTATTGATGTCCAGCAAGTGTCCTTGGTCATCAACTACGATCTTCCCGCCAACCGCGAAAACTACATCCATCGCATCGGTCGTGGTGGTCGTTTCGGACGGAAGGGTGTTGCCATCAACTTCGTTACCGCGGAGGATGTGCGCATGATGAGAGAGATTGAGCAGTTCTACAGCACTCAAATTGAGGAGATGCCAATGAACGTTGCCGACCTCATCTAAGCGTTGCTTAGCTCATTTAAAAGTTTTGGTAAATCACAGTCTCGACATCTGGGGTGTTGAAAAAAGGCATCGAGGTCGAGACCCCTATTGAGGGAAGTGATTGTGAGCGTTGCTGGTTCGCCCGGCGCGTGAGGAAGGGTTAATTTGCGGCACAAAAGTTGCTGCATTCGAGCGTGTAGCTCGTCGGTTTTTGTGCGTCAAAACATGGCATTTCCAACACTAGATGGTTGGTTGATGCATCGTGCTTTTCGGTTTTTATCTGTCTCTGTATTTCGGGATTGCTGGGGCATTGAATATGCTTCTTCTATCAATGGGATCCGCATCTTATACATTTCTGGCGCTTTGTCACGAATGTACGAATGTAGACCAACAGATGATAGACGCTTTCATTCTTATAGAAAGCGCAAAATGCAAAAAATTCATAAAAATAAATGTCGCTTATTTGCTTTTCGTGACCATCGGCTCCCCCTTTCGCGACGCACGTGGATTTTGATCAAGCGAAGCCGGCTTTGAACATCCACATCCACGTCCACTTCACTCACCCCCGTTTCCATATTATACCAGTACTTTCTACAACCATATCCACATCTTCCCCGTCGAGTCGACCTTGGCACATCAGTCGATCATCTGTCCAGTATTGACGGGGCAAAACCCAACTGCAATAGCTCACTCGAAGCGTTCCCACGAGGCCATGGCGGACTTAGGTTCAGCGGCGCTGTACGGTGCAGACCAGTTGTGGAAGTTCCAGCTTCGCAGGGAGCACAATGTACTCCTCGAGAAGATAGAGGAAATTGGGCGCTCAAGTCAAGCAATGCCCGCCGTCTTCGAGGCAAGGTTCAAAGACTTTGAGGACTCGGTCCAGACGCTTATTGCGAGGAATATTGAATTGGAGACTACGCTTCAACAGTTCAGGAACGATCGTCAGCCGTTTATAGATGCGAGCCTTCAGCCGATCAAGAATGAGCTTCAACAGTTCAAGGAGAAAGCAGAGATCTTGGACAAGGAGATCGCTAGCATGAAGCCACTCTTGCAATTCTCTGGGCTGCGCGCCCCGGATGGTGAGTTTATTGTCGTTCTAACTGGATCATTACTCACAAAGATTGATTTAGAAGCTCAATGCGAGATGTTGGAAAAAGACCATCAAAAAAGACTTCAAAAAGCTACAGCATTCACTTTGCAGCGCGATCAACACCTCCACGAAACAAATTCTCCGATGATTGGTGTCGATCCTCACTTGGAAACTGCAGCATCAACTAGCAAGCTTGCAACTTCTCTCAACGCGATACTCGGCAATGCTTCCAAGACAACACTTCAGCCAGAGGCCCAAGCCAAAGTAGTTTCTGCAACTGACGCTGAACTTCCTGCTCCTACCCCCTCCCCAAACCAAACCGGCGGGCAGCAAACCGCAAGTCTTCAACTACTCACTCAAAGACCTACCAAACTCGCAGAAACAAGGCCGCCAATGTCGCTCCTCCGGCTCCACCAATCGCAAAACCTACTCCATCCAAGCTTCCTCGTCTTATGCAAGGTCCTGGCAGTGTCTTGTCCTACTACATCGCCACCGACAAGAAATACCCCGAGTATGATCGCCAGGGCGGGGAAGGTGTCTGGTTCGTTAATACTTTCATTGCTGGTCTGTCTGCCGAGGCAGATAAGAAGGCCTTGATTGCGGTGTTGAAGAATCTTCACCCTTCCATGACGATAAAGGGTAGGATGGTCGAGATTAGGTGCTGGTGGGAGGATGTTGAGGACGGATTGGTCAAGGCGGGCTTGATCCCTGAAAAGGAGGAGGATGACATAGGACCCAGTGCGAAGAGAAGAAAGAACTAGAGAAATATTATGGATTATGTCCGCGGAGAACTGATCGGGCTTCTACACAAACAATGATGTCTTAGGATATCTGGCTGGCACATTTAGCTACTATTGCGGCGCGTTGGTGCAAGGTCATAGTGATTTATTTGGGCTTGGCATTTCCGTATATTGCTTGATTATTTGGCGGGAGTTTAAGATACCCAGGGCTTATTGCAGATATCACGCCATATTGAACACAAACACATACACATATACTACCTACAGAGCTGCTTGTTCAGAACACACAAGCGAAAGTTCAAAACCAGTGCATTATCTCCCGCTTCCGCTGAACTGGGAAACCTCTCAATGCCCGCCTCGATATGGAAATATAGGGGAGCGCTTCCCCTGGTTTCAAATCAGAACGCTGAAGAAAATATATTGTACAATATAGGAACCATCCATGTTATGAAGGCCCATCTTCTGGCAAGTCAGCGATGACCTCCTCGACTATCGTCATTAATTCCTCCACATCTGGTCGTTCAGCTGGCTCAACCTTCAAGCATTTCCTGACAACCTCTCTAATATTTTCGCTGATCCCGCTATCCTCACTCTGCCCAGCTTGGTTCTTCGCCTTCTTCTTTCCTCCGGCGCCCTCGTCTGGAAACCTCCAGTCTCCGCTTAACACGCAGATACTCAAGCTTCCACCGGTCTCGTCGCTTCGCATTTCAAACGGCGATTTCCCCACTAGACATGCGTATAGTGTGCAGCCTAATGACCATATGTCCACCTTTGTATCGATTACGCTGCCTGTCTTGACGTCGAATAACTCGGGGGCGCGGTATGGCATCGTTGAATGTTCTGCGGCTGTGTCCTGGACCGCAAGGGCCATAGATCTCGATGTGATTGGTGTAGGTGAAGTAGCGAGCGATCCCAGATCCATAAGAATTGGTTGTTCACCATCATCATCGATCATAATATTGCCTGCGAATGTTAGCAATAGCCTCTGGCGCCCTGTGCGACTATTTACCTGGCTTGATATCTCGATGGGCGTAAGCTCGAATCTCGCCCGGCGCAATGCCCTCCTGAGACCTTGTGACCTCCCCTTCCATCAATGGCTCTTGTTGCTCGCTATCTGAGTCCACTTCTCTCCCACTCTGCCTCCCTCTTTGCAGTTCCACTTCTTCCGCGGCTTCTTGGTCGGCCGCTGCTGCTTGCCCTCGGACTCTCTTCGCTTTGTTCTGGCTATTTACGCCTCCAGGCCCGCCGCCAACTTTATAATTGTGCATAGCCTTCAATGCTTTACAAACACCCAGGAACAACACCATCAGCTCCGCTCCGGAAACTTGGTGTGGTTGACTAAATTCGCATTGATAATATCTTGTAAATTACCCCGTCGGTAATATGGCAGAAGTATATATACAGTCTTCGCGCCCGGGTCTGATCGATCGGCAGATACGCAGTAGTCGACGCTATGTATAATATTCGGATGGGGTGAGAACAAGGCGTACGCTTCCACTTCCTTCATAGCCAGCGCAACGGATTCTTGGCCGAAAGGACACCGGATCTTCTTGAGGGCGTAGAGGGCTTCATTGCTGGTATCTTGGACCAAGTAAACGTACGAAAACCCGCCCTGTACGTATGATGTCAGCTTGCAATAAGACACCTAAGGAGTTATGCCAGCCGCATGCATACCTCTCCAAGCAACCGCAGAATCTTGAAGCTTCGATTGTTGATCTTTAGCTGGGGAGAGCCGGGGAAACAACTCATGCAATTGGACAGGGTATAGACCAGGTCGAAGAAGTATTGTGCCATTGCGATGGATGGTGGCACGGCAGATGTGATTGTTGTTCAGTAAGTAGTGAGCTGGCGCAAACCCGCGCTTGGGCAGTTTCGAAGAAAGGCAATTGGCGATTAGTTTTCTATTATGACCTAATCCCAAGATGAATGACGCTTTACAAATAGATTAATGTTGAAGTATGAAGCTATTCAGTAGTTGTGTTTGTAGATGTGTAGCTAGAGGATACGAAATATATTTACGGAGGTAGAACTGGTGGATCCATCAACTGTGGCTTGTTCGACTGCGCCGCGCCCCGACGTGGCTGCTATGAGAGTCTGAGCTCTCATTGCAGATCCTTGCAACTATAGCCTCATCTTCTTGAAACCAGATTATAGTATGCAGTCTATACTTAGCTATTTAGTATCTGTACAAATATTTGATCCTATATAAAATATATAAAATATACCTGGTCAATCAAGTTATTCGCTTCCATTTCTCAAGCTGAAGCATTGACATGGGTTTCTAGTTACTGTATGTATTACGTTCCATGCGGGGTTGGGTTGGTTCCGCGAGGGGCGTCATCTCTGCTCCGAATGGCAACACATACAGACGACCTTCCTTTCTAAGAGAAGCTTCACGAGCAAAATCGAAGCTTCAAAGCTCCCAATTCTTCTCCCACCCAAAGATCCGAGTCTCCCCAATCATCCAGAGCAACCTAAACACAATGACAGTCCGTGCAAACAAATTCACGCCCAAGGTGCTACTCTCTGCCCCTCGAAGAACACCTGCAACTCCTAACGCAGAGGGAACACTTGCTCTTTTCACGGTATCGACCTACTCTTTCCAAACACACTCGAAGACCAACGAAATCCGAGTTCTGGACATAAAGACTGGACAGTCAAAACTTCTAGTCAGTGACTTGGGTGTGTCGGAACCAACATGGCTTGGAGAAGGGAATCTCGTCCTATGGTTGAAAGGAGGAGAGAAAGGCACCACAAATCTTGTCTTCGCAGACGCTGAGAACCTGGAGAATAAGTAGGTTCACTGGCGTACAAATTTGTGAATATTTACTAATTCTAATAGACCAGAAATAGTCCAGACGTTTAATGGCTCAGTGTCCAACATAAAAGTCACCCCAATCGATGCTCAAAATATCGCTCTTGCAGTGACTGGCCTTGCCACACCATCCGGAGAACTATACAATTCAGAAACTGCAGAGAAGCCAAGGTCGACTGGCAGGGTCTATGACAAGCTTTTTGTTAGACAATGGGATGCATATCTGACAGAGAACACGAGTGCTATATGGTATACCACGTTGACGAAAGGGCTTGCGAAAGGGCCATCCATCGTAAATGTAGAGCCGCTGAAGAACGCGCTGGCTGGTCATTCAGTCTCTTTGGAATCACCTGTTCCACCTTTCGGAGGTGCAGGAGACTATGATATAAGCAAGAATGGCATTGTCTTCATTGCAAAGGATCCCAAGTTGGACCCTGCAAATCATACCAAAACTGACCTCTACTTCATACCACTGAGGACCTTTAAAGAGGAACAAGCACCTTCACCGCAAATAGTCAAGACCGGCAATCTGAAAGGCTACAGTAGTTCACCAGCGTTCTCACCTGACGCCAAATCTGTGGCCTTTGCTAGAATGAAGAGCGATCAATACGAATCTGACAAGCCACGTTTGCTTCTCGTCCCTGATATCACGGACCTTTCCAACGTTCAGGAGTTCTACGAGACCAAGGACGGTGAGGGTAAGTGGGACTTGAGACCAGAGGCCATTGTATGGAGCAAGGACGGCAAAGAGCTATATGTGACAGCTGAGGAGAATGGCCATGGGAAACTATTCAAATTGCCGGCTTCTCCACGCCATGCAAAAGATTTACCAACCGCTATTATCAGTGATGGAACTGTCACCGATGTCAAGGTACTTCCCAACAACCACCTTTTCATCAGTAGCAACTCTTTGGTAGACAATAGCGTTTACGCTATCCACAACCCAGCAAATACATCTGAGTTCTCTGTTGTGTCTTCCAATGCGAAGGGTGGTAAGACCTTTGGCTTGTCTCAACATCAGATTGGGGAGTTTTGGTACAAGGGTGCGGAAGACTATAAAGTGCATGCCTGGGTGGTTAAGCCTTCGTTCTTCAAGGAAGGCCAGAAATACCCACTTGCATATCTTATCCACGGAGGACCACAAGGGGCTTGGAACGAAAGCTGGTCAACTCGATGGAATCCAGCCGTGTTTGCTGAGCAAGGCTACGTGGTGGTTACTCCCAACCCAACAGGGAGCACAGGCTATGGTATGGACTTTCAGAACGGAATTAGGAATAACTGGGGAGGTAGGCCATACGTCGATCTTGTTAAGGGATTTGAATACATCGAAGAGAATCTCTCTTACGTCGACACCTCAAGAGCCGTCGCTCTCGGCGCAAGCTATGGTGGCTATATGGTTAATTGGATCCAAGGACATCCTCTAGGACGCAAGTTCAAAGCCCTTGTCACGCATGATGGTGTCTTCAGCACCCTCAATCAATACTCTTCCGAAGAGCTTTTCTTCCCGCACCACGATTTCGGTGGAACGCTGTGGGAAAATCGAGAAAATTATGAGAAGTGGGATCCAGCAGCACATCTCAAAGAATGGGCTACCCCTCACTTGATCATCCACAACGAGCTGGATTATCGACTGCCAATCGCGGAAGGACTGGCTCCGTTTAACGTCTTGCAGACAAAGGGGATTGACAGCAAATTCTTGACATTCCCAGATGAGAACCATGTTAGTTTTGCCCCCTCCAGTATTTAGAAGTTTGGCTAATGGATCAATAGTGGGTTCTAAAACCAGAAAACTCTCTGGTCTGGCATACAGAGGTCTTGGGGTGGATTAATAAGTACAGTGGCGTTGCGGATGAGCAGGAGCACTTGAGGTCCAGCATTGAGAACGTTACGATCTAAAAGGCTAGAAGTGGAGGCCGGTAATTTATCTTCAATGAGGATATTGGAATGCATCATGAAATACGAGAAAATGTATCTTTGGGAGCCAAAAGTCATTTAATAATGCCAGTAGTTCTCTTCAAACCTTTGGATCTAGAGATTTCTCTCTCTCGCTGCCTTGGGCAATTGAACCAATTATCCTGTCCAAGAATGCAAGTGAAAAACGAGAGAGAATGTCCGAAGGGTGTATATATATAGTTCTATTTCCAAGACATGCTCTATCATATGCAATCTGGCCATACCATGCCACACCAAAGCGGGTCCCAACCACTAACAATGCGCCTCGATCAACTCCTAAATTATACAAATGTACTTTATACATGACAAACATCCGAATATTTTTCAACCAGCCTCCCTGATATGCTAGAACACAGGAGCTCAAAACGCTCCCTACATCAGCGCCGTGTTATTATCATGTTGCCCTTCTATCCCTCAAGTCCCTCCCTGTTCCTCGTCGTCGGCGCAAAGACTCTGGAACTCAACCTCTTCAAAAATCTCCGGTCCAGCTAGTTCCGGGGCGAGTGCCATAGCTGCATCACTCAGGCCATCGATAATGAACTCACAGAGAAATGTGTTAAAGGCACTATCGCCATCCAACTTCCAACCAAGTTGGATGTCCATGTGGTTACTATACGCGCCGTTCTTTCCGGCCAGCACCGCATTGATATGGTCAGGGCCGGCACATATGGTGGCATGGTAAGTGCATTCCTCCTCAATCGGACCACAATTATCGCAGACGCGCTCCTCGATGCTCGGGGCTCTCGCAGCGAGCAGGGCTCGACTCTCGTTCCGCTGTTCCAGTTCCAGACGTGACGGAAGGCTGCGTTTCACGGGGCTCGTGCCACACCCTGAGGCCGTCTGATCAGGCTCGTCTTTGAACTCTACCACCTGGCACGATTTGCTCGTGGCCTGCTGCCATGTGGCGACGGCTGCTGCGAGCATCTGGTCGCGCTCTTGCGTGCTGCCATACGAGCTGTCTTGGATCGTGAAGCTGAGCTTCTCGTATGCAATTCCGCCGTCGACGACGGTAGGGATCTCGTCGATGTCCGCTGTTGTTTTGGAATCGCAGGAGCTGGCGCTATCGGGGCAGAGCGCTCTCAGCTTGCTGTATACGGCATCGCGCATGTCCGCACCGGAATTCGCATTGCCTTCGTCGCCGATGGGCAGCGAGTTGTTGGAAAGGAAGACTGCGAAGGTTGGGGTGGCTGACGCCGCGGCTGTGGTTGTACTATAAAGAAAGGTAGGTTAGCTTTGTTTATTCAAGGCAATACAATGCAAATAAAAAGTATAAAATCAATAGGTAAGATATGTGAGAATCCGATGAAAGCTCCGAGGCATTTCCAAGGAATCTAGAAACTTGCCAAAACAATAAAGTGAAAAAAGGGGTATCTTACCATCCTTGGACGGATGTGCATGTAGGAGCTTCGTTTATGCCGCCAACAAGTGTGCATGCTTGGCAATTGACTGTATAGTGTTCCGTTTCGATAGTGATGGGATTGGCGACGCTAGAGCTGGGCATAGCTGTGTATGAACAACTCTCATCCATGACGGTAAAGGCTGTGTTGGTAATTAGAGGGAGTGTGCTCGAGTCGCACACACATCCTTGAGCGGTAATGCCCTCATCTGGATCCTGTCCTTGGAGATAGCAAGTTGGCATTTTAGCTTTAGTCGTGGTCGCAGGTGGTGTCGTTGAGGTTTTCTTAGGCATAGTCGTGGTAGAATGTGCCGTCGAATTACTCTTAGACACGCTCGTGGCAAAAGAATGTATCGTCGAAGAAATCTTAGGCGCAGTCGTGGTAAGATGTGCTGATGAAGTGTCGTCAGCTAATACGGGAAATTGGCAAGCTGTACCATTTGTATCTCTTTTGATATGCCGGTATTTTGTGAATGTCTTGGTGATTTCTCGTGGGACGTTTAGATGTGCCTTGTGATAATCTATGATGGCTTGCTCGTAACTTTCAACGCGTGTGACGAAGTCCCCCGACTTGACGTTCTGGAGGTTTCTGAACTCGAAAAGAGGGACAGCGCGGGTGCTAGTTCCATATAGGTTTTCTAATGTATCCCCGAGGGCGCCAACTTGACCTCTGAGAATCTTATCGTCGAGTGCTGTGAGGGCATCAGGCAATGTGCCACTCTCAATGCTTTTGATCCAGTCCGAAACTTTAAGGGATTCTGTCTCCGTATAGGTAAGAGTAAAAGTTTGGCCGTCCATCTTAGTTCCTGTGATGGGTGCTTGAACGGTGCCGCCGCAGTAATCTGTATCTATCCTATAAGAAAGAACGAATCAGCCTAGCTACTTGATCATAAATGACTCGATAACTTACTCAACAGTAGTACCAGAAGTCTTGTAACAAGCGAGAACCTTCACAATGTCATATAACGTGCCAGGGACAGCAGTCTTGACCTGAGCAAAAATAGTTGTGAAGTCGGTTCGAGGCATGATTGTTGTGAGCATTTTTGGGCTCTGGCCTTCGTCCTCATATCTAGCTGCTTTCGCGTAAGACATGATGAGTGAGAAGAAGCCGAGAACATCATCCTTGACAGCAGATGAAGTGATTCCATTTGGGCTGCTCTGGAAGAATTCCTTGGTAACAGATACCATCTGCTGGGATACTCTGCCCCGTGTGCCTTGGCCATTAAGTTTAGGTAGTAGAGCATGGACTTGGTTGGCCGCATTTCTGGCGAACAAATCACTGATTGCCTCTAGAGGTAATGCTGCTGTGACTTGCGGGCCCCAAAGAAAATTGGCAGAGCCACCAGCTTCTTCTGGATCAGTAATCATCCATGGATTACACTGGGCACCGTCGATATTGACTGAATTGGGATTCATTTCTTCTGATGGGTCCCATTTTGCCTGGAAGCAAGACTATTAGAAAGTTTGTAAGGGGACTCCAATTCTCAGACTTACCAGGTCAGCCGCAACAGCCGCCGCTGCTTTCGCGGCATCTCCACTGCCAATCAAGATAGTTTTCCCGTTCAAGATGTATTCCGCGTCAAGAATGTTCCTCTCCAACACATCTGTGGTGAGTTGCCAATTCGTGCCTTGCCGGCCACCAATAACCTTTCCCTTCGAAGCAGTTGTGTCCGCTGGACTACAATCACCCGATGCGCTCCCCAAGCGGATCTGTGCAGTTTCAAACTCGACACCTAAACCAGCTGCTTGTTTACTGGTCGGGGCATCCAAGGTTGACGCCTCCTCTCCAGTTTCATCGTCAGCACAAGATCCTATAGCTCTTCTATCATACTTGAAAGCCAGGGTATCAATCGGTAGAGACAGTAAAAAGGGGAGAAATATAAGACATTGCTTCGGAGAGACAAAGAAGTGCATATTGAGATCCAAAAGAGCGTTGGAGTGAAAATCAAATCAAAGGAATGAGATAGGCACGAGATGAGCTGATGGGTTCTAGAAAGTTAGAACTACGAAGGAGATTATATACATACATATAGCGACACGGTTGAAAACGAGTTCTAGAACTACGAGAAAGGAATGCGGACATGAGTGACAACTTGACAAGCCTCCGCCATGGTTCGGTGAACAGACCATGGTTTATTTTTGCATCTAATGAGAATGGACAATCCTGAAGGAACGAATGAGCCGCCGCCAGTACAGTACTGACAGAGAAGTTAGATGCTGTATACTCGAGTGTATGGGTCCTGTCAGCCGCAAAGAATTAAACTGGAGCCTCTATGTTTAAGCCTCGCGGTGCCACAAGCCCCGCTTAATCCGCCCGACCTCACTGGGCCGTCTTACTTGGTAACTCATTACTGTATTAGTCTCATGTTTCAAGTCTTAACCTTAAATAAGTCAGCCCAATGATTAGCTTCCGCCGTTTAATCCTTCGAATACGGATACGGAGTAGTTATAGTTCTTGGACGAAATGGATACCCAACTTGTTCAAGCTTTAGTCGCTTACAAGGGCTGAGCAAGGCCCTAGTATGATAGCTACGGCTCTTTGATTGGTAGCCTGAACGACAAGCAGGTTAAGTTAAGGTATATCCTAATCGTATACTGTACTAGTACAGTACAGTAAGATACCGATTAAAATAGAATAGGCAGCGCAATTGGAACTCTTGACGTGTTCCAAGTTCCAAGCTCCAAGCGCTCTACTTAATCCGCTTTGGTTCACGCTACGACTATTGTCAGAATCCAGCTATATACTCTGTGGTCTAGCTTAGTCATGTGTTCTATTTTGCTATGTGTTTTGCTTTGGTCAGTGACACTAACGGAGGAACGGAGGACTACTTAGTATACTGTAGATTCTGGAAACCTATAGTTAATTTACGAATATAATGAGGATTCTGTAGACCGAAGCTTAATATTAAGCATAAGGAATTGCGAGAGTAACCGAGCATGTAAACTTTTTTATGTCCACCAGGTGGTCTTCTGCTCTATATTTAGGGTCATTTATATTTGCCAAGAGGGAGAAGGGATCCGATATACGCGCGAAGACGGGAGGGAATCCGAATCCGAAGTACCAAGAGACTAAAAGGTAATGGGCTTAAAAAATCAGGTGAAAATACTCTCTTATATGGTAAAACTCGAATCCTTCACGGAAACAAATCAAACCTGGTTATAATAAAATCCTTTGGTCTTTGTAATGACTACGGTAGCACAAGGTACCCATGATGCAGCGCAATTCGCTGGTACGGCTACGGCATCAAATTGACTCGGGATCTGTGAATGTCATGATTATCGATCACTATCCGTACCGTGAGCTTTCTCGCCATCTTCCCATACACAGCAGACGTCGGACCTGACGATTCTATGTTATACCACTTGGAGGCCTTCCACTCTAAACAGTCATATCACTCATGCCTACCAGTATCATGAATTCTCCGTCAAGTACAGAGATCTCAAAGAACCGTGATACTTTGCTATCGTTGCCGGAAGAGCTAATCACGAAATTCTTTCTCCAACTTCCTCTCCTATCAGACGTGTTTGCTTTAGCGCAAACCTCTCATCGATTCAGACAGATCTGGTCAGAGAATACAAATACGATATATAACAGAGTTGCGCCGCGAAGCATCTCATGCGTCAAGTATGCACGCGCTTTCCTAGGAGATCAAGGAGGCCCCGCGGTCGGGGAACCGCTCTCTGTCCACGACGTCTTTTCCATGGTACGGAACGCCCGCAATATAGAGAGAGCAATGGCGCAGTTCGAAGAAGACATCGTCTCCAAAGTCAAATGTAAGTCGTATGGAATGATAGATCGATCAGCGACATCCAGTCTGGTCAGTCGGCATCTAACGAGTCAACAGGTGGTGGCTATCCCGTTCCAGAGTCTTACGGACCAGGTGCAATCAGACACCCACCGCACCTGACACCAACTGAACGCGCGCGCTTTATACGCGGCTACTACCAAGTATGGGGGTTGATGAAGCTCGAACCTAGCTGCTGGCCATCGAAACTTGCTAGTATAAGACTCAAGGATCTCTACCGACTCTACGAGATGACGAAACTGACCCAGAGCATGGTGAGCGAAGAACCTCTCCCAAAGCCTTCCCTCCCCCGCTCCAGATATCGGCATCCGTCGCGCCTTGATATAGAGAAAGTTATCTGGAAGGACATCGAGCAAACTTGCGAGCGGATTTGGGGAGCGGATTTCGAGCCGGATTTTCCTTGGTTCGGTGGGGGCAAAGAAATTGGAGGATATATGGATTTCATTGTCTTATGGGATCACTGGGAAAGTGACTTGAAGGGTATATCATGCAGCCCACAAAGGCAGGTTCCTGAGAGGGTCGAGAAGGAGTCTTTCGCGAACGACACTTCAGATGGGGAATTTGATATGTGATGCGCTCAAAGGGAATCTTTAGCCATTACAAGGTGCTGCACTTGATGCTTTGCATTAAAATCAACCATCCAGATTTCTCAACTACTACTTACTACCTGGGTGGTTTGTTACTCACCCTCACGTCGTGTTTCATGTGTTCCTGAGTCAGCTTTGTTCACCCTCCACCAGCTCCACCAGCTCTGACTGACGACAACACCTACTTGGTAACTAAAATTTTAAATTTCCCAACTTGCAATGTTATCACCTACTCGTAATTAGTTCCCATAATAATCAGCATAAGCAACATAAATTTGGTTGCTCCTAAGAGGATTTATATAGTCTAATTGAACGATATTAGCTAACAATATTGTTAGTCCTGAATCCTTCACACCAGAATGACGAAGCGTCAGCATTGATTGCGCCTCTCACCCCGACATGACACGTCACATGCGATTGAAGTTTTAGACTTCTTGCCATTCATTATTATCATCCATCTCCTTTCAACCTGAACCTCATTGCTCAAAGGAAAAACCAGAACCATTTCCGTACTATAAAAATACCCCGCAAGCACAACCACCATGTTCGGCGGCGCCCCCCCCCGTCACCCCCGGAACGGCTACGGGACAGCCCAAGCCAAAAGCACAAGAATACGCCTTCACGGAAATCAAGACGTTTCATATTCCCGTAGGCAAAAACCTAGAAGACGGTGATAGCAGCGAAGAGGGACAGATCTGGGCGCATACCGTTCGCACGTATTTAGAGAATGAGGGCACAGGGTTGGTATGGTGGGGTCGTTTGTTCGACGTACCGAGTGTGGTGAAGCTGGTAATAGGTATGTACCTATCTATATACGACATCACTAATCCCCTCCTTCCATTCAAATCAAATCAAAACAAATCCAGCAATCACTGAACTAAGACTCACCCACAAAGATTGGAAAGCCAAGGAATTCCATACCCAATTCTCACAATCCCCACAACTCCAAGCCCTCCAGGAATCATGGACAGCTCTCGCGGACGAGCCTATCACGACCAGCTCTTACGTCTTCCCGAATTGGGAAAACACCCGTCGCAATGCATTCACGAAATCTTCATATGGATCTAACGTCTCTTGCATCCTGACATTCTCCTTCCCCGCACCTTCACCTACTCAAGCCAACGCCACCTCTGACTGGCAAAGCGCATGGGATCAATTCTCGCGCCTGGCTTTGAGAAGCACAGGAGGTATCGTATCCAGCGGAACGTGCGGCGGGTGGTCGTTGGACCAGAGGAGCTTTTGTGCGATTATTAGGTATATAGATATGGAGAGGATGAAGGTTTTTCTGCAGGAGGCGGATGAGAAGCTGGGGTTTGAGGGGGGTTTGGGGGTGATGAGGAAGATTAGCGAGGGGATGAGCGTGGAGTTTGCGGGGATGTGGTGTTTAGAGGATGGGTGGCTTGGGAGCGTGACGAAGGGGAGAAAAGACAACCCGGGGGTGCAGAAGATGTTGGAGAGGCATAGGAAGTGGAGGGGTGGGTGAGAAAGTATGAGGGGAGGGGGGATATGGCTGGAAATAGGAGTATTTGGGGGTTTGACGTGGATGCTAAAGTTTTCCTCAAGGAAGCTTAATGAGCTTCCATGATACCCAATCTTCAGTCTTTTAAGTTTGTGACGGAATCTGGTCGTTCCGCACTTGCTTGTGGCTATCTCAGTCTACCACTTGTCACCATGACAGCATATAACCGCCGCACCACTAGCGAAGGCAAGTCGTACCTGACATAGTCGGCCTCCAATCCCACCCTGCAGGCAATACGCTGGGGCGTAGGGCCGCAATATGGCCGGGTTGAAACAACATGAAACATATTTACCTCTGTAACATACACAGCAAAAGAGCCGAGATCAAATAAATAGAGAGGGTCTCTTGGAGTTCAGTCGCATGTGCGATATTTGTTGGGGTGGTTAAAGTATCATGGCATAAGGTATCCACATCATCTCTTCATTCCATCGCTCATATGCTCAAGTTGTAAATGCATCATTTTGCAACAAATTGGCATGCCCATCAATGACACGCCCCGTCCTTTGTAGAGCTTGTGTTATTTCCAAATAGCAAGAAACCGATGAATGCGCCGACGGCGACGGAGAGCATTACCCAGCCGTTGTAGGTCATGAACAATAACCTGCATTATCTCCATCAGCGACGCATCCCACAGCGAGAAAACCAAAGGGGGAGAAACTTACATGAGCATAAAAGCATAAAAGTTCTGGATGGCATATAGCGCGGCCTTGATAATATGTGCCCTTTGGCTCACTTCAACCTGGTTGCGTCCTGACCAAACCAAAGGGGTTCTCTCAGCAACAGATTCATCTCCACGGCGTTAGTTCTCAGCATTCATGACATTGCAAATAAATGACCAAGAACGTAAACGCGTTCTAAAATGCAGGGAGGGCTTACTCGGTGACTCTTCTGCCTTCTCTGCAGCAAACGCCTCATATCTTCGACTCAGTGATCGGAGGAATTCGTAGGCGGCGGTTAGGGCGACGACGGCGAGGAGGGAGAGTATGAGACCGGGTGTGGTTTGGACGTGCCACCAGCGGAAGATGAGGCAGAGGTTGTTGGTATCCCAAGTGAAGAGCATCTGCGCCAGCCATCGATCAGCTTGCGGATCGAGGCAGAGGGGGACGAAGACCTACGTTCATGCTACACATTGCTGGCATGGCGTGTCCGCCGTGATCCATTCCGCTATGGTCCATTCCGCTGTGGTCCATGTGCGCGTGGTCCATATTTGGTGATGGTGCTTGAGGTTTAGGTCGAAGAGCTTCGAGAATGAATTGGGTTTGGGAGATAATCTTTGAAGTATGATCAGAGTGCTATGAGTATATGAGCAGGTATCAAAGAAAGGTTTCGTCGGACTCGGGGGTTGCAGCTGTGGAAGTGCTCGTGTCGTTTTAACCTTCTCAAATAAGCTCAAACACAGCTGTGACGGCAATCGCGGGGAGATCCGCCTAGCAACACACCATTGGCTAGCGGCTCTCAGAAAGCTCAGATCCACATTTACCCCTTATATACCTACCACGTGATTTAAATTCGGGTTTGGTATTTTTAGACTTTAGTGTTGGTGATTGTTAGACATATCATCCAATTCTGGTATTGTTGGTTGAGTATGTTCCTAGTGAGATATTTTTTAACGTAGAAAAGTGATATTCAGGCGGCTATAGAATTTGCGAGCCCCCTTCTAGTCCTTAGGTATAGGACAAACTATTTATTCTTGTCTAAAACCACATTTAATGCAAGTATTCGGTTCAAGAGCCATCCAGATATCACAATGATGACTTAGAACCAAGAAATCTTATCATAGACGATTTCGTTTTCCAATGTATACCTACCTACCTTAGGTAGATTACAGTGCAAGCGTAAATGGGATGATCAGGCTCCCTGTTATATACCCATCATATGTTGCGTAAACAGTCTTCGAAATATTATATTCCGCCACTCAAAAGGTTATTTCCATAAATAGGTTGGGGCCAGGTAAAAGAGGATCTGATGGAGTTCGATAAAGCATATTAGAAAATGCTTAGCCGACACAACCCCTAAACCGGTTTGCGATATCAGAAACGTAACTACCAGTATCCACTTGACCACCCTCCAAGGCATCTCCAAAGGTATAGGAGTAGGTCCCTGAATTGTACAATCTAGCAGCGATGTAATATTGCTGTGCAGAACCTTCTTTTGCCCCCATCTCCTTTGCTTTCGCCAAACACTGCACCAGACCATCACCGCCACCGGGCTGGTCATAGGTCCCGCAAGTACCGTCCATGATCATACCAACAATTGCATCGTTTGGACAGACCTCCTCGAGATTATAGCAGGCGTGGCTGCCGTTGTGGGATTGCATAAGTCCTGGATTTCTGATGCCATCAGGAGAATGGGTGTCGATAGTGCGTACACAGCCTTCAGACTCCTGCAACATAATCGCGAGGATGAATCGTACATCAAGGTCATGATATTCGGAATCTAATTCGATAATCGTGTCTTTCATGACCGCTTTCTCGGCATCGGTGGTGGGCATGGTTGGGACTCCGTTGATTTCGGAGCAGTATTTGCCCATGATGTCGTAGTTCTTAGACCAGAGTTCATCGATTGATAACCATTCGTCCTTAGTAGGCCACCCATGGTCGCCATCTCCAGTATAGGTCCTTTTTTCGATAACTGCACGGGAACTACCGCCAATTTTAGGCGCCGATATTGGTGCCGTGGAGGTTGTTGAAGTGTACTTGGGAGATTCCAACGTTGATACTAGTGCCGTGGGTATCGAGGAAGCACTTGCTGTATGAAATAAAATGACACTTGGTGTGTTTGTGCTCTTGGCTGGGATGGAGGCCAATGTCCTAGTCACAAAAATATTTGTAGTGTTGAGGCGTATAGCTAGGAAGGAAAAAAGAGTGCTACTTGCGTTAACACTTGTTGTATCCAAATCTAAGGCTGGGGGAAGGGGGGACATTAACACCAAAGCAGAGATAAAGGGAACCCGTGTAACAGCAAATAAATAGATAATCGTACCTAAAAGTATTCATTGTCATAGTTAGGAAAGTGTCCGTCAATGATGGAGATGCGTCTTGGTCTGTATGAGCCGGAGCGGCGGATTGGTCGGTGAATTTAACAGCAATGAAGACTCCGACTGCCAATCCACCGGCGACTAACATCCCAAACATAGTCCGAGGTACAATGACAAGAACACGTCGACGCATTTTTTTGTGGCGGTATTAAAGAGCTCGAAAGGACTGGAAAGTTGTGATAGTTAGCGGCTCTAGGTCTTGTGGATGTGCTGACATTCTGGAGAAGATGTTGTAGATTCCGTGCTAGATTCCGAGGGTGTAGAATATCTAAAATCCTTCAGTGTGCGAGAAATTTTCGAAAATAATTGACTGTTGAGAACCGGATCGGCAGGTGAGACCATAGTTCAGCCTTTATGTAGGCGGTTCCTTTAGTTGCCGTCTATAACCATGGGTTTAACGTATGGAGATTAAGCTTAAACGGAACAACTTGATAACGAAGCAGTGTAATGAAAATTAGACTTTCATCATATCATACAGTACAAAGAAATTATACGAATGTAGTAGATCTTATGTGGATTCGTAAACTGCTAGCTATGAATCCATCGCGAGATTGTTTCCGAAGACTCAATCATGTGAACTTTCAGCAATTTGCGACCGCGACCTAACTGTTTTTTGGTCCACAAGAGAGATTTTACTTGGAAGATTTGCTTGCAACGCGAGGAAAATTATGTCTCAAGTATTGGTATTGGAGTAGAAGAGTGTCTTGCAATTTGTGGTGTCAATGAGGGAGGTTGTGTTGGAAGTGCGTTGCGGGGACTGGGCAGCAGGAGGCGTCTGCCAGTCTTTATGGATGTGAAATACATGGCCCAGTACCGGAAGTCCTACAAAACGATGAATACAATTGTCTCGATAGCATCTCCTCCCTTGTTGTCTAGAGTTTCGTCTAGCCAGAATGATGTATAGGTCATTGCATTGGCTAGTTGGGAAACACTGAGATCGATGAAGTCTAATGGGATATAATTGGATTTTAGAATGCGATTTCTCGTCGACCACGGCTATCATTGTTGAATCTTGGAAGCTTGAAGTGTGAAGTGCGGAAAAGGATAGAAAGTGAATAAAAAATACAGAGGAACTTAAAGGAAGTTGTACTGCATCTTGGTAATGCTTGGGATGCGGGTCATCCAGAACTTATTTCACTGTACACCAGTGTCACAAGGTCAGATGGACAACGCATATAAGCTCACAGTCTTCCCGGTCATGGCCTCTTGGCTCGTAAAAGTTTCATGGCTTTAGCTGACCCTAGTGCTTCTTCTATATATTATAGACGAGAACAGTAATTCTCGCACTTTCGTAACGGCGAACGCGGTTGATTCTGAGTCTACACAAAATAGGTAACAACAACCATGAAGATCTCTTGACTAGCTTATGCGTTTGCATTTGCGTGATTCTGACACCAGTTGGTCCAATCATTAAACAATATCACCGACAGCTTGACCTCGCCGTTGACCCACGCGACCTGAGTCTTCATATACACTGCTGCTAGCTTCTCGAAGCTATCCTTATTGGCTCTGTAACAGCTCGATGCAAGCATCAAACTCGAAGTACTGGCTGCCTTGGCAAACATATGTGATGGATCTTTTGAGGCTTCAAGATGAATCGCTTTCATCAGCTTTACTTGCTTAGAAATGCTGACCTCTCCCGCTGCTTTCCCATGCTTCTTCGCCGCTTGCTGGAAGGCTTGAATGATGTTCGAAGCCCTGTCAGCCAATTTCTTCGTCTTGGTTGTGCGAATGAGCTGTAGGAGGGGTAATAGTAAACCAAACGCAAGAGAGTTTCCTGATTGCTTCTTGACGAATATCTCTAGCAGGTCCAACACTCGACTCTTGAAATTGACGATGGTTTCCTTCGCCTCTTTATGCTCCTTTTTCGGCTTTGTATCTTTCTTTCGCTGGGAAAAGATCTCTACGAGCTTTGAGTCGAGAGCCATCATTTCGGAATCGGTCATATCAGCATCGCTATCCGATTCTTCGGCGTCAGGGTCTAAACCTTTGGTACCGAGTGCTAATGCCAGAGCAGCATCGAGCTTTTTCGTCTCTTCATCTTCTTCCTCTGCAGGCTCATCTCCATCACTATTCTCCTCTTCGTCAGATTCCTCGTCTTCGTCCAAATTGGTGGTCAATTGACCGTCTTCTCCATTCATGTCGATAACTTCCACATCGGAGCCCATCTCAATATCACTATCATCTTCCACTTGTTCGCCATCTTCCGGTTGTTGATCAAACATTTCCTGTTGGCCTCTCAAATTTTCGCTAGATTCCAAAACATCTGTGATAAGTTTCAAGCCCCCAACTGTAATATCTGCCATAAATGCAGTGAAGACATGCTGTGTAACTTTGCGCAAAAGTGCAGATGGTTTCGAGATGAAGGATAACAGGAGCTCAACCAAGACTCCGGAAGCTTCCACTTCGGAATCCTCTGAATCTTTATGCCGGATGAGCTTGTCGTAGAAGAGTTTCAACTCGTCAATCGTGGAGATTGCTTCAGGCTCACCATTGTAAAGCTGGAAGACAACAAGGGAGTACAGTAGTGCTAGAGCTTGTAGAGGTGCTTTATCCTGAGCGTCGGCCTTTTTGGTCTTCTTCAAAATTTTGCCCATTGTAGAGATTGCACCGTCTCTTGCCTCGGCAATTTTGGCATCCATCTTCACCGCATCTGGCTCAAGAGCTTTGACAAGGTCACACGGAAATGAGTATCCTCTCAGATCGGGCAAGAGATGGGCAAAGCAAGACATCAAACGATCTCTGGAAAGACCTCGGATCTTTGGGGTTAGGGGAGGTTGAAATTGAACATCTTCGCAATAAGCCATGTTGGCTATAGTTGGAAGTGCATTCTTCTTAACCCAGCTAAGGTCACGGGAGTCGTCCTGGACATTGACTCGTCGAATGATGCTCAGTAGGTAATCGAGGAACAATTGTCGACGCATCTCCGCCTGTTTTGTTGCATCGGTACTAAACTCTGTTAGCCTATGGATCTCTACTTTTTAAAGTCATTTGCTCAGACATACCCCTCTATAGAAAGTACTGGCTTCTGGAGAATTGCCATCACGGAATTCGCATTTTTATCATTGACAAGACTCAAAAGCTTCTCGACGGTCTTCGTCTTGGTCGCTGTGTCGAAGTTGTAGGTACCATGTCCTCCGATCAAATGAGGAAGAACAGTGACCATGACTTGCGAGTTGGCCTCCGCTGCCTGGACCAAAACCTTTAGTGACTTGTCCGCTGCGCGGTTCAAGAGGCGGTCTGTTCCTTGGAGTTGGTTTATGAGGCAAAGAACGAGGTTATGGCTGAATATGCTAGGAAGTAGCGTCTCATATGATAAATGATCCTGGAACAGTCTCTGAAAGAGCAAAAGCCCCCAAAACTTACGCTCCGGCGAGGCAGTTGAAGCAAAGAGATTCTCTGAGAATTGTTAGCGGTGATACAGAACTTGGAATCGCTAGGACGCAATTACCATCAACTGCAACTTTCCAGAAATTTTCGAAATTCGATGTACTCCCATCTGCCGTTGCATCCTGCGCATACTGTGCTAAAAGTATGTTCCAGACGAAGTGAAGCTTAGAGTTCCAACTCCCGGTTTGTGTGGCCTGCTGTTTCTCGTTCGCCGACTGATTACCTGATGAGCTTTCCTTCAAAGCTTTCCCTAGAGTTTTTAAGTGGTCCAGAGGATTGGCACTTTTGCCCCATGGCTTTGAAGGTAGTTTCATATCCGGGAATCGGTTCCGCGCTGTAAGCCAGATGCCAACACCTTCAGGTGAAGGAGCTAGCCCCGCGTCACATAATTGCTCCAAGGTATACTCTGCTTGAGACTGACTCATTTGCGCGAGTGCTTCCACAATAACCCAGCCACATTCTTCTCTGATCCATGGCTTCTTCTTCGCGAGTCCCAGAAGCCTGTCTAGTATATCATTCCAATGACCTGTGGTTCCAAAGAGTATATTCGACCTCACAAAACTCTGCAATCCGAATAGTAAGCCAAGAGCATGGTCCTTTTCCTCTTGTCCGCTTAAGTCACCTTCAGGCTTGGTTTTGGTGACCAGGAAGTCGAGTATTCGGTCGAATGTGAGATTGGAGTACTTTTGTGCCGCGAGATCTTTGGCGCCAAACAACTCAGACAGTATCTCCGTCAAGACGACACTGAAGCCTAATCTCGAACCCTTCCTGCCACTCGCGAGTCCGCGAAACAATCTCCTCTCCAAATGCTTTTGCAATGTTGATTCTTCGACCCCAGTTCCGCCCAAAAGACCAGAAATAATCGCATTGGCTGCGCCTAGTCTCTCCAAACCATCTTCACTGCCCAGAGTATCGTAGAGCTGGACTTCTCTCTTCAGGTCGGCTCCTCTTGGATTGTCGAGAAACGGGGAAGTGTCGATTGGAGGGGGAGATGCTGCTTCGGTAGAGGGTTTTTGGGTATCTTTCTGCTGCCGTTTGGCATCTGGTGCTACTGCAGAAACGTCCTTATCCTTCCGCTTACGTTTGCTACCCATTTTCGCAGATTGCTCGACTTGCTTGAATCTGGAATCTACTCGAGAAATATTTTGGGATTTCTTTGTAGAAGTTTTTGATTCTGCCACTCATCTTCACCGCCTTCAATCGACTTGTCCCAATAGAGCCTAAATCACTTTGACAGCCAGGCGGAAGCGGGGGCGGGGATTGAACGTGAACGTGGGAAGTTTATACTCTTGGTTTTCTCATTTTCAATATTATACTTCTAGGAAGACAGTTCTTATTTTCATTATTTATCACGATGAAGTCGTCTCTTCTACTTTCTAAACCGCCATCCGACAAGAATTACGGAGGAAATGAAGCACTCCAAGTCTATCAGGAGCAACTCTTATTAGTCGAAAGGCAACGCCAAAATTACAATATACCGATCATGGGACGAGGTGAAGATGCTGGAATCGCGGAAGCAGATTTTAAGAGCACCGCGCAAATAGACCTAACGAAGTCTGATGAAGAGCGAAGGAAAGAGCTGCGCGACTATCAAATGAGTCTCATGAACCTCAACTGCCGTCAGAGGAAGGGGCGATCGATATTATCAAGCCATCAGCCCACAGCGTCTCAGGCTACGGCGAGCATCTCAGCAAGAGATAATGAGCGTCTTGATGCTGTCGAGTTGCGAAAGCCAGACGCCGAATTCTTGAAATGTAAGCCGGCCACTGATCTTGTAGCTTCATGGAATGCGGAAGATGCCTCTCGAGACTTTGATTTCGACGCAGCTCCAAGTCAAGACGGTAAGGGCATTCAAGACGTCCTCCAAGACTTCGACTTCGACTCATTTATCGGCCAAGATTGTATGGGTACCAACAGTGCTGATTACAAACGTAATTTTACTGGTAGAGAAGTGAAGAAAGTTCCAGGATCTCAGAGCTCAGCTGATCGGATCAAAACACAAGAACACGATGCTGCAAGCATTGTTCCCACTAATTCAAAACTTCAGCCCATTGCACCTGGCATAACCCATGTTGATATCGAGAAACCCCCTCTATTCGTCAACCCCAAGCAGTTTCATCGCATTACTGTTAGACGTGTTGCTAGGCAGAATTTGGAAACGAAGATTGCAAGCCAGCCTTTCAGGCCTCTGCGCAAACATTCATATGCCCGGCGACGGCCACGGGGCCCAAGGGGTCGTTTCTTGACACCGGAGGAGATTTTTGAGCAGGCCGAAAAGAAAGAGGAAGGAAAGACTCAAGATGTCAAACGGCAGCCGGAAAAAGAATCTTACTTACACCCGCCAAAAGTGTCAGACGACCGACTCAAGATGATGCGTAAAGACGGTCGTGCTTCTTCACGTACTCAAATCTGGTGGGTGGCCTACACCTCCCTCCACACATCCGATCTAGCGACCTATGCTTTTATCACGAGCGAGTTAGCGAGCACGATTGCCGACTTTGAGTCCTACGATACAGACTCGGTCCTTTGCAAGTGGATCTCGAGCAGGATGATGGCAAGGGGAATCTCTAGGAACCAGCCTCAATTAAAAAAAATAGTGGTTCTCATAAATAGCATCATTAGTGTTATGGCTACTATTGACAAGCAACTTGGACTGGAGATTGCAACGGTTGGGTGGGACTTTGTATATGTGTGTCTAACCGTAAGTTCATCCTCAACTCTTCCTCATTACAGAGTCCTGATATCCAACTTCTAGCTCAACGAGCACAATCTTTCCTACCAGACCCTCGTATCATCCACAATATCCGCGATCGAACAGTGCCTCACCACCCTTCGGGAAGTAGTGGATGTAATTGCTCGCTACGCCGTCATGGAGAACCTCTGCCAGCACCCTAGCGGCGCGCTTGCTCTGAAGCATGAATATAACATCGACCTTATTTTTCTTTACACTACGATTCTTGAGTACTTTTCTGCATTTTTCTCTTTTGAAAAGGAGATTGCCAATAACAGTGGAGATCTGCAAACGAGTTTAAAGAGGTGCGAGAAGCTGGCAGAGAAGATTCGGGCTACGGATAAGGCGTACCAGAGATTCAAGGTCGGCGTTGATATGAAAGCGGCCAGTGAAAGCGGAAGTGGACAACCAGACATCGAAGACATGAGCGATGAAGGTTGGGTGCACGTTGGCATCGAAGAAGGTCGTATGGGTGAATGAGCCTTGTGTTCAGTGGTTCCCCGAGGGCACCGCTTCGTGCGCTCTGAATTTTTGCACTTGGAGTCTAGTGATCACGAATGACTCTCGAGTTTCTTCCTTGCTGAAATTTGCAATGCAATCGTACTTACGGCCTGACCTAGCAATCCAACCCCCAGCGATATTCTCTGGTATGGCCGTCTGAGGAGTCATTTGGTGCAGATATTTGCTACCAATCTTTTGACTTGGTGCTGATTGATTGAAAAGCTTTTAATATTTTGATGTAAGTTAATTCTCATGGAAGCAATTATGAGACAGTAGCGAAATGTCAAAAGCGCTTGCCGTCAAACTGGCGCTTGTTTGCTAGAGATCAGTCCAAGGCGCAAGTCATCCCAAAGTCACAGTCACCCAGTCAATTCCGGCAGCTAGTTAACCCTTTTAAGGTTATATAACCCTCTATGATTTCACTTTCAACCTTTTCATCCCTTCATTCTAATATCGAACTGTGTTCCTGGGCAATGATTACTAAGACCCACAATTTCAAGAGCGAAAGGTAGGACTGCTCACAGTTCTAAGCTAATTCATCCTGAACGACTGCTTCTTCAAGTGGGGACTGAAACAGATACTCTACTTTCTGCAGCCCGTTGAACTCTAAGGTTCACCATGGGCGCTGCCGGTGAGAAGAGGAAGAACCCAGGTGGCGACCAGAAGAGACCGGATAGGAAGAAGATGCCTAGGAAACATGAGAGCGAAAGTGACCCGGGCATATTTGTTAACGGCTACGAATGGCGCGTAATATTTGATGTACTTCATCTCGGTTCAAAGCCTAACAGTTTTCTTTCGCCAAAGGCGAGGTACACATAATGGGTTTGTACCTGAAATCACTGCTTTGGGCGGCGTTGTCTCGCAATTGAGATTCTGCTTGGGTTATGCGAGATACTTTGACAGAATACAACGCATTGTTCATCATGTCTCGCTGCCAGCAGCATACCGTGGGATGAGATGGGGTATCAAATGAAGGAATTGGGTAATAGGACGTCACTTATACGCTGGATATGGCAGAGCTAATGCAACACCGACTTAATATCACTGAAACATCATGCGGGATATGGCAAGGTAGAGGGGTATTGAGCCGATCCATTGATTAATAAGAGCTCCAGCGTTCTGGTGGTTCATCTTGACCTCGTCTCGACACCAAAATTAAGTATATGAACAACCAGTGGCATCATCACCATCATCCTTCCTTTATCTCAGGAATGCCGTTTTTCTCACCGCCAAAATCCTCCTTAGGATGCGCATGAGTAATGTCGCCTTTCTCACTACCGACGCTGCTGCCGTTCGCCAAGTCTCGTTCTTGTCGATTCTCTCTGGCCAATTTCTCCTCCAACACCTTGACTTCATAATCAATGTTCTGAGTAAGAATGTACTCTTCGTGATCGATATCTCTGTAAATCCAGTAAAAGACAATGGCCGAAACGAGACCGATGATGGTTGGCGCGCCGAAATCCCACGTCAGATATGGATCCTTGACGAGAGCGGAACATGCGAGACCAACGGCATATGAAATTGCTGCCATGAACAAGTTGATGGCCGAAACCAAGCCACGCATGTTTTGTGGCGCGCGCGAGTATGCAATGCCGTATGCTGGGACGTTGACGAAGAGTTCCGAAATACCGCCCAGTGCATAGGGAATAGCCATCCACCAGATCGAGATATTGGCCGTGAGAGCATTCCCATCGGCATCCACACAGGTTGAACTACTTCCATAATGTCCACAGGGACCATCCTTATAGGCGTACCAGTTCAAAAGGGTGTATCCAGCGCCGCCACAAGCGGCCATGAGAAAGCCAACGGTCATTCGTGAAATGGATCCAAAGTGGATCTTCCATTTGCGGAGAAGAGGATATAGACCGAAGTTGAGGACGGGAGCCATGCATATGATGGAGAGGGAGTTGAAGTTGCTGATGACATCGTTGGGGACGCCCTTGGTGGAAAGCATTGTGCTCAACGCGCTGGCCGAGTTACCGAGACCTTGATCGTTGATGCTTTGGATGGGGAAGAATAAGAAGATTCCAGTAGCTTGGAATGCTCGACGGACATCCTCTGTGAAGAGTAAGGCATTAGTTTGATCTTTCTTGTTCGACCTCTACACTCACTCAGGGCGAGTGGGAGGACGAGGTGGGGCTGACTTACCAATAAATGCGTCGTTCCATGGAACATCGATTGGGTTGCCGGATGTGGCAATTACTGAAGGTCGGGCGGGATCGAAGAAGCCACCACGGCCAATTGATTTCCACCCTCCACGCCTGAAGCAGATTCCAAGAATACGCACAATGTTGCCGAGATCACTTCCACCTGGGGGGTAGAGAACGAGCTTCTTCTTGAGGAACCAAAGCAAGAATGGGAGTGGGAGATAAAGGATCAAGGGTATCCCGAAACTGAGCCACCACCCGACGTATTTGGCGGTATAGGATGTGGGAACATTCATGAATCCTCCAACATTGATGAGAAGATAAAACCAAAGCATGACTCTCTCAGTTGTGTGCTCAGGGTCAATGATGACTTTTTCACCAGTCTTCAAGGTTTGAACCTCGAGTTTCGTGCTCTTCATTTGATCCAGAAGGGTGGGAGAGATATTAGGCTTGAACATGGCTGTATCCCATTAGCTCGATCATGACATATGGGTAGAGAGAGAACCTACCAGCGCCAATTGCCAAAATGTATACACTGATCAAGAACGGAATCTTAGCATCACCATTAGCGAGAAGAGTCTTTGCGCCCGATGCCATCACTAGAATGTATGTTAGAATGCGTTGCTTAGGTGTGATTAGAAAAGGATCGATACGTACTGATCACATGTGCCAGACCGCAGACACCGACACCAGCACAAATCATCCTGAAGCGTCCAGTCCTGGTATCTGAAATATAGCCAGCGAAAAGAGGAAGGGCATATGCCAGCATGGAGAAAGATTGTGAAACAGCAGTTGCTTTCACTGTACCCTCTCCCAATGCTCCAGCAGTACTCTCTGTTCCTCGCGGGGGGGCTCCCCATCCATTTCCACCTGCAGGCATCGGTCGGTTCACGTAGTTGCTGAAAAGTGGCTGGACTCCATAATAGGAGGACCTCTCGGCAAATTCTACAGCACAGATCAGGTATGCGACAGTGGGAAGCTTCCCGGCAACTCTTCGAAGGGTCCTTCGCTCTTCTTCGTTGGGGCTGTTGTGCAACTCGCCGACCGTAGGGATCTCAGCGTCTGCAAGGACTATCGATCCCTTATTGTCGAGATGAATGGTGGCATCGTTGCCCACGATGTACTGGGCATCCAGCGTTCTGTTTTCCTGTGCTACGCATACTATTAGCGAATTTCAGAGAAGGATCTAGTAGAGAATCTCACTCATCGTTGCGGAAGTTTACAACTCTCAATGGGAACTGTAGGAAGACCAAGCTTGAGAGTCAAGAAGGGTTCAAGAGGGGGTGCATGCTATTTCTATGCAAACGCACAATCCATGCTTCACGAATTCACATCTGTCTAGCCCGATAACTTTATCCAACCCACCAACAGAGTTTGCTACTTGGGAAGATCAATCTCGGACCAACTCCCAGATAAGAAGCTGGATAAATCCACACATGGCGCGGGGGTACAAGGGTATAATCTAAAGTCCTCTGGACCACCTGGGGCTGGTCTTTTTGACCGCAGCTGGCCGAGTGGGTGTTGGAGGTGCACTGTCTCGGGAAGCCCAATGCAACGGCCATTGGAGAGCTCGATTCGCCGGGATGGAATTCAAGATCTTTAAGAGGCAGGTAACTAACTACATGCCAAGCCGCTTGCTTGAGAAACAGTCCGTAATACCTTATCTAGAAGGTCAAGGGATTGCCGGGATGCTAATAAACATTCCAAGCTTGGCTGTGATTTGCGGCACGGGCTTGCAGATGTATAGTGGTACAGACATTGGAAAGCCCAAATGCTTGTCGGTCTCGCTTTACAGAGCAAATCTCACCCATTGATTGGCTACTCGAGGAGTCGAGTATAGTAATTGAGTCTACGATAAGCAAAGGTGAGGGGCGTCCATACGGAGTACTCTGTACTGTCATAAATGCCCGTAAGGTTGCATAATGTGGCAGGGGCAACAAAGCTATAGACAGGGAATGGCCTGATTCAACCAACGGGTCCACTTGGAATGAAAATCAACCCTCCAACACACGTCGCCAGAACAAGCTTCCAGGCGCTACTCAAGCTTCCAGACGCCACTAAGAAGATTACGGATCATAATCGTCGTTAGCGATTGGGATTAAGACCCTGCACCGGCAGACAATAACTGGAGAGAGATCTTGGCGGTAATGCAGCACGCACGCACATACGAAGCGCACTTTCTGTCGAGCGGGGGTCACCGGCGCTGCCGAGGGGTTTGAAAGCTTCGCCAATAATTCCCGAAGATTCCCAGTAGTAGCATCATGTCATGTCTTGTTTTGAGCCTGAACAGAAGAGCTTCGCATTGCCCAGGCCGGGCGTAGAGATCTCTGAAGCATGCTTAATTGACTTTTTCAGCTTGTATCATTTTTGCGCCCCCCCAGTGGCGACTCGCAGCGAGAACTCGTGTTGAATGTGGTACCAGAGAAAGATTTGTATCTACCTGGGAAAGCCCGGGACCTAGGGGTGGACGGCACGTTCCACTGCCATCTGGCTAGATAATAAACCCTGCGCCCATCGGTCGTATGTGTTTCTAGAAAGTCAGTGAGAACACCACGTGATAGATCTTACGACGACTTAAAGTGGTCTTCTTAGTAGCTTGACTCCATCTGTATCCGAGAAGGCAGCTAGCTGTCTCTAGAAGCTTTTTTTAGTTTGTTTTCAAAACGTTGTTCTTATCTCTATCCCGCCCTATCGCCATATCGGTTTCGGGTTATGCAGGAAGGAAGCACTTCTTTTTTATGGGAGCTTCGCTCATTCGTGGAATCGTGTAGGTGTTTATTCTAAGAGAAGTGAAATATCGAGCCGTCCTACTAGCATCCAGGCGATTCTAACGATGCGGCCTTGACTATGTTCGGGAAGAAGGACCGAGGTTTTCACCGGTGGGGATGGTGGGTCAGCTTAGGGTTGTACAGCTTCAGCAAATTCTCGTTAGAAGGTCCCTAGGTCTATCATCGGGGTATGCGAGTCGTATGAGAACATACTGGTATATTGCTTCGTGCTTGGCACTAACCCTATGCTAAGAGTTGCCAGCCTTCGAGGCTCCCACATTCGTAAAGCCACTTCACATCGCAAGCTTATTTGGAAGGCTAAAAGTCTCCAGATGTCAGTCGTTCTTGCTGGATGTTCGAAGATACCGAAGATAGATAAAGGCTAGGTAGCTTGGATCACCTAGCTAGGAGAAAAACATCCGGGTCATCTGATCATCGCCTCTCTGTTCCATTAAATTGCTCGGGAAAAAAGAGCAAGTGAACAACAGGCCGGTACAAACCCAAAAATTGCCAAGACTTACCCCAGCCCTCTCAATTCCCTCTCTCGAGTCTCGACAAAGCAGGCGCTGGAACTTTACAGTTGGACTTATCTAGAGGGCCAAAAACTTCTATTTGTAAACCTTTATTCAATCAACATCATCTAACAGTACCGAATCCTTCCACCATTTAACTTTCTCTACCTTCGTATAACTTTTTCCGCGCCCATAGTGCAGGTAGTGATCCTACTAGCGATATCTAAGAATCTAACTCTTGTTCTACCAACACATCATACCACTCTTCAGTAAGTTTCTAACTATCCGCTTCCATAATACTTTAGACGGATTCGAGGCTGCATGAACACCTAACAACAAAATTGACAATTAGACTTCGACGGATCGAAAGAAAAAATGAAGCTTCTTTCTCTTCAAGAAGGTCGGGTCGGTCTTGGCGATATATATGACCTGCTCAATAGAGTCAATACCAACTTTGCAATTTGCGCATGTGGGCACGATTTGCCTCACTAACAACAACCAACTACTATGCACCGAAGGATCCAACAGAGCTTTACAGGCGAACTCCTATAGCATTTCTTTGTCTACAAATGTCATCCAAGCTGTTTTGAATGGCTGCGAATGGTACTGTCAGCTTTCGATTCCGGCTTCCTCTTGTACGAAATGTCTTGACTTTTCTAAAGGAGCCGCAGTGCAAAGGCACACTAGAGTGACCCGATCCTGTCATTATGTTGTACCCTGACAGTACGAAGTACCGTATTAGCTGCTGCTTTAGCTAAGACCTGCTCTGTTCTAAGACGCCGTGCTATATAGTACGATGTCATTTGTTGACTTTGTGATTGATTCGACTTATCATCTGCCTCGTGATCAAGATTTTCTTTTGAGAGATATATGATGATGCAAACAGAGCATAGTAGAATTTGAAATCGGCTTTAGTTTCTTACATCCGAGGACTTTTAATTTGACCTACATTTGATCGACACTAACCAAATATGGCATGCATTCGCTTACTTAGGTAAAGGGGGGGACAAGTCGGACGAATCCCGCACCTCCCCCTAAGCAAGTGTAAATGGTAGCCAGCTGTTGTATGGAATTGTGGTCGCTGAGTATTTGAAAACATCTATTCTATATAGTAAAACGTACCAGCAACTGCATAGCTACAAATGCTTTGCGTGCAGCATCATGTGAGAGAGCGATGTTTGGTTAGTGGAAACATGGACGCTGCAGCAGGCGCCATGCTGCGCGATGCACAAAAGATACAGCCTCACGCTCAGCCCTCGAGTGCGCCTACCTCAAAATTCTTCACAGCCTCAACATCTCAAAAGCACTTTTTACAACGAACTTTTATCATCTTTCATAGACCTTCGCCAATACTCCCCGCCTTTGCTTGTCCACCATGGAAGGACTCGGCGCCGCTGCCAGCGTGATCGCCGTCACCTCTCTGGCACTGCAGCTCGTCGAGAGAGTCAAGCATCTGTGCGACTTTTGGCAATCTATTAGAGATGCTCCAGGATCTATTCGCGATATAGCTAAAGAATTCCATGTTCTTTCAGGCATTCTTGCGAGTATTGCGAGTACGACGCTGCTGCCGGAAAGACAGAATGAAAATATGAAGCTGGTTTTGGAAACTTGTATGTATCTGCCTTTAAAACCCCTATTCAGAAAATCATGGTGTAACATCTGTTGTTCTTATCCAGGCGCATCTCAAATCGAAACGCTACATTCGATATCCAGAAAACTCGAAGAGCGATTTTCTTCTACTTCCAAGACAGAGCGCAAGTGGGCCGCTATCAAGACAGTCTTTAAGGCCGAGAAAATCAACCAATTCTTAAATGCCTTGGAGCGAACGAAAACAACATTGGTTCTAGCGAACCAGCAGCATCTTATGGTGATGGTGGCAGCAGGGTTTCAGGAACAACAACTATACCGGAACGCAATGATACATTTGGTGACAGATAGTCACTCCCAGAAAAATATTGTGGGACCAGTCTCGGGCGTCAATCTGCCACCAATGGTTAGCCGTTTCTTAAAAATCGATGAGAACCAAAGCCATGAGATCGAAAATCAGTGGCGTGGGGCTCAATATAATATGACCTCTAATTCAAGGACTAGAATTCGCCCGCGCCGAACCCAAATTGCGGCGTCGTACACAAGTATCAGCAGCATTTTTGGTAACTTTACCCTCAAGTCACGAAAGTTTTCGGCACCATCAAAAGTGTATTCGATGGTAGAAGAAGACGGGCAACAAACCAAAGAGAGCTACATAACTATTCGACCAGCTCTATGGCTCGCACGTTTTGGACTCAAATATGGCATACAAGTCGCGATTTCCCAGTCCCTGGGGAATTGGAAGCATGTTTTGAATACATTTCGACCCGTGCCTGACGACTCTTTGATTTTTGAGTTCTGCAAACTAGGCAATATTGACGGTGTCAGGCTTCTCTTAGATAAAGGGGACGCATCGACTTGGGATACGGATTCTCTAGGTCGAACACCATTGCATGTAAGTTCATGTCATCACAAATGATTTCCCTTATCTAATTTGTTGATTTTTTTTATCTCAATTGGTTTTAACAAACTATAAGGTAGCTGCAGAACATATCCATCCTCAACTTTGTGAAATCCTCCTCGGCGTAGGAGCAGACGCAGAGGTCCGAGACGACATAGCCATGTAAGCGTCAGAAATTTTACGAATGAACCCCATAGTCCTAACTAATTATATGCATTTCAAAGGTCGGTTTTCGAAATTATCTGTCGATCAAGATATGCCGGAACATCAGTAAACAAGATCAATGTTCTTCGACATTTCATCCACCAAGCGGAGCTGTCAGAACCTGGAAATAGAAACTCTGGTTGGTGGGATATTGCCGCGTTAGCAAATTGCCAGTTTTGCGAAACTG